ATCTGAATGAGGTGCGTATTTACAGTACCTAGATAGAGGGTGCATTGAAGTTCATGGAGAAATCTGCAAATTAGAATTTGCCAAGGGCATTCGAGTGGGGTATAAAAGACAGGAGCAAGTGTTTTTCAATGCTTAGATGGGCAAAGAGTGGAGACCCTGGAAATCAAGAAATAGCTATAGTGTCAGCAGAGGTAAGTATGTTTAGGAAATTTTGTAGAATCTATCTAGCTTTGAAATATAAAGTGCAGCAAAAAGACATTCATGTTAACTCTTTCCACATGGGCTCAATCAATTTTACTGACCACGTGACTACTTTGTACTAATTTAAAGTCATTATAGTTTTGATGCAACTAACTTTTAATATAAAAAGTGTATCTTCACAAAATTTGGTAGACTTTTAGTAAACATTACAAGTTATTTACATACAAAAAATCAGATTTTTTTAGTGAGGTATTTTCAATAAACTAAAAAAAAAGATCTTTCCATGAATATATTGAGTCTTTTTATTACTAGTCTGAATGCAAAGTGATTTTTCATGTTAAGATTAAAAATAATTCTCTTCATTGAAGATATCTCAAATTTCATTTGCATAATCTCTAACCTAAATACATTTCAAATGTTTTTCAGTGAAACTTTAAATCTTATCTGCTATTTTCTCTACCCTAACTCTATATGATGTTAGTCAATTTGACCAGCCTTGTAACCATTACAAAAACTAGGAAATAAATTTAAATTTCCCTTTCTTTTGTTCTAGAATGACAGCAAATTACAATAAGAAACCATAAATGTTTATTATAAATAACTTAATTTTTATAACAGTATACATCTATTTATATTTATAAATTTTTTGTTTCATTGACCTTCGAGCAGTGTCTAACCCCGACACACGTTGAAAATTACACAGCACACCTGCAGCTCGGGTTACTTTATCAAATAGCATAATGCACAAGTTGCTCACTAGTATATCCCATGAAGATTTTCATTAATATTTTTTTCTTATCTTACCTAATAAGTTTTTTTCCCATTTTATTTACTTTTATAATAATAAAGAAAGAAAACATAATTAAATATCAAACACTTTTCAGTAATGCTTTATATTTTTTCTGTCATTTTCTCTACTGTAACATTATACTTGATTCTCCAGGTTGTAAGACAAGTTATCAAAGTATAACAAAAATAAAGGTTGTTTTCTGTAGTAATTATAATGTTAGGAGCTGACTTAGACACAAAACAAAATGAATAGTACTGTCTGTCTTTTTCAGTATGGATCACTAAATTTGAAAGAAAATTCCTGAGAGTTTCTTCAGATCTTTTTACTTATTTCTTATGTTTATTTTACTGTTAGCAGCTGAAGTAGAAACCTGCCAAATAAAAGCAATGAACTGCCACTCCTCACTTAGTTTGACACTGTCAATATCAAATAAGCTCAGACAGCACAATTGCCAGAACTTTCCCTGCTTTGAAAACACAGTGGGGTAGATTTATCAACTTGTTCACAGTATAATGGTTTCAACAACAATTGTCTAAAGTATTATAAAATGTTTATATTATGACCTTGTAGAATGTCAGAGCCAATCCAATAAGTTGATAAGCAGATGTTTCCTATAGAGTCTATTCAAATCCTGGCTCCAAGAACACAGTGGAGTATAATTTATCAGCCTCTTTACAGTACAGAGGTTGCAACAAGAATTGTTTAAGGTACTTTATAAAACTGAGAGAAAATATATATGATATGGCTCTGTACAAAGTTGTATTCGATCCAATAAACTTAAGTATTTGAATGTTAGTTAACCTCCTGGGTGGTTGGGATTTAGCTTTAGTATATGTATAAAAGTGTGTAAGTGCTTGTGAACATCCTTTGTCCTATATCACCATGCTTACACAGTAACCACTAAATTTGTGGTTTCCAGTAATATAAATTTGGCACATTTTGGTTGAGCTAGTATTTTTGGCTTAGCCTCCTTGTTTATCACTCTAGAATCAAAATATTGAGTAACTAATTTTTGTGTAAATGTACAATAATATGTTCTAAAACTTCTATATAATAAAACACAGTACAAATCTCTTACTCTTAGCACTATTGTACTAGTATTTTGTGAAACACTGACATTTTGGTTACCATACATTACATATGTATATACATTATTATTATTATCAAATAAATACTTAAATGTCAGTTATATTTCTTAAACAATAGAAGAGTAAATAAAAAATTTGGAAAACAATGATCTCTACTACTTACAATGCTATGAAGTCTTTGTTTGCACTCACAAATCATACTTGCTAACCTTTGTCGTAAACCTCATCCAAATTCACATGTGGAGATGGAAAAATAACTTTTGTAGACTTTATATATGCATCTTGGAATTCCAAAAAAATATAAATTACTATATCGATACCTCAAAAATCTCTTGTAATTTACCAGGTTTCCTAACTAAATTGTATTTGGGTGTAAAAAAAAATCTAATTTCTGTGCAACCTTGATCATAATACTTCAAACTTTCCAATGATATAAGATCTTTTCTCTTGTAAATAACTTAGGATGAGTGTCAGAATTAAGTAGAAGAAATGTAGAGTTTTCAATTGGTTATAAAGTTATTGGTATACAAAAGTAGGGATAGATAAACAAGTCTTCTTGAATAATGAGCAGTGGGCAGAGCCAATATGGTGGATTCCCTAAATATTGAGATATCTAAGCAAATAGAAAAGGTAGGAGGTTCTTATTTTATAACATGCAAATATTGGAAATTTGAGTTTTAATTCATAAGAAACTATAGACATTGTATTATGGGAATCATGAAATATAATCCGACCAAACCCAGAAAGCAACATACCACGTGACACACAAAATAGATATTTAGCCTCTTTTTTTAATATTTACTTTCAAATTAAGACATTAACTAATGTATAATATAAAAATTTGAATCATATTCTACAATTTATGCCAAACTTATTGCCATACATTTATAAAACAAGAGTTAAATAAAATCTTGAATACAAGTCTACATACATGATGACATGCCCTCTAACCCTTACTCGTGTCCATAAGGTTAACCCTATCACCACGAGTATTCTTTATTGCGCATGACACAAGGTTCTAGTGTCTTACATTCAAAATTTTATTAAACTACTTTTTGTTTATGTTATATCAATGAGAATAGCATAAAATCTAAGCTAATAATACATACTTTAATAATGTAAAAGTTTTAAGTTCTTAATGCTACAAAACAATATTTAAAAAATCCTGAATTTCCACTAGTGTGACCCACGTGACATATTTTGTCTTAGCATGTAATCATCCCTATTTTATCCACCAACCCTCGAAAAAGTACGAAATTAAATGTAAATTACTCTCTATAAAAATCGTTATTGCTCAGACAAACCATAATTTTTATAGCCTTCAATTTTGTTTGGTTACAGAATTAATGAATGGATCTGCCACATCCTCTCTTACATTTCATTATATATATTACCTATAACCAATAGAAAGTCAAGGTTTTCATCTATCAAATAACATACTGTATAGCATTGTGTTTTGAACAGATAAGCATCAATTTCACTTATAATACACGGTTCATTCGCTTGGGAAAGTTAATGACTAGCTTAGAGGTATTTGTAACGCCATTTGTCACATAGTTAGAAAGCAAGGAAAATTTTGAGAGGTAAGTGAATTTGTCTATTTTTTGCATGTTATTAGTCCATGTTCTTTGGTGCATTATTTAATGAAATAAAAATTATTAAGTGTATTACTATTTATAGTATCAAAAATTAGGGTTAGTTCTATTCAAAACCTGACAGCAAGAAAAAAGAAGATTGGTTAAGTATTTTATTTCTTGTTTTTTATGTTTATTCTTTATGTATAATTATCAAAGTAACTGAAATGTAAAAATAGGGATCTTTTTAGGTTTGTTAAGATTAGATTAGGCAAAATAAATAATAATAATAATATTATAATAATAATGTTTCATGAGGCACACATGTGAGCAGCTCATGGGTAATGTAATTCATTAACATAATGTGAGCTGCACATTCCCCCGAGTGATTTACAACCTATAATGGTGAGGACAGTAATTAGACATAGTTTAAAGGGCAATACAACAATAATAATCGATTATAAATAGATGTATATTGTTACGAACTTAGAGCTACTTAGGATAAACGAATGTAATTTCATGTTACAATTTGAAGTCATTCTAGAAAGAAAAAAAGAAGAAGGATAATTTAGGTTTATTTCGATGTTTTCTTTTGGTTACAAGGTCAGTCAAATTGACTGATCCCATTCTGAGATAGGGCAGAGAAAATAACAGATGAACTATAAAGTTTTACTGGAAAAAAAACGTTTCAAATGCATTTAACAGGTTTTAGGGACAACACAAAGGAAAAATGAAGAAAAGTATTTTTAATTTTAACATGAATATTACACATGGGCTATTCAAAACAAATACTCAATATATTCATGGACAAATCTTTATTTTATTAAAAATACTTCACTACAATATGATTTTTTGTATGTGAAAGACTTATAATATTAACTGAAAGACTGCCATATTTTGTGAAGATACACACACTATATTGAAAGTTAGAAGTATTAAATCTGTAAAGGCTTTAAATGAGTACAAAGAGGTCACGTGGTCGGTTAAATTGACCAAGCCTGTGTTGAGAGTTAAAGCCAAACAATTAACAATTCTAACTCAGTAATGCACTGTTATATTAAGGTGCAACAGAATAGGTTTAAGACTGTTTAAATACAATAGATAACAAGCAAAATCAAAGAGCTGATTAGAAAATTCCACAATAAGCAGCTTATAACAATGTTGTAACTCGCAGGGTCATTTCTGTACATAATGTATGGATGAAGAGGAGAGTTTTAAAACAACATATTACATAAAATTTGAAAATTCAAAACAACTTTCAAGTCTATATGTACTGGTTGATTCAAGCAAATGAATAAAATGAAAGTATTTAAAAGTAGTAATGACAAAATCTAAACCAAAACCTACCTGGGGATTTGGAAATATTCTGAGGAATAATAATAGATGCTGTTACACGTGAGGGATTCATTTAATTCTCCTTTCACTCTACAATTTAACAAGAAAACAAAAAGCAAAACAAACTACAGTTAAACTTGATAAACATGAGAAGAAAACCATAAGCAATACTTAATGTAGTGCACGCACACCATAAACAACTAATAATATGATACTATAAAATGAATAAATTTTTTTATACCTAAATGATTGTTAGCATGAATTACAAAAATGTATAAATAGGAATAATGTGTGATTAAATTTATGATAATGTTAGACCTTTTTCATGTAAACATTAATTGCCTGAAGCAGAATAAAAAAAACCTTTATGTGTAAAGCAGTTTTACATGGAGCTCTTTAACCCTATAATTACAGGCACCCCTGTACTGCACACATCATGAGATTTTACTTTGTTACATTCACATTTTTAATTAAGTAATCTTATTATCAATGTATACCAATGAAATTAGCATTAAAATTTAAAATACAGTTTAAAATTTCATATTATTGAATTTTTAATTCCTATATTTCAAAAGAAACCTTAAAGGAAAAAATCTTAATCTTTAGTTTGACACACAAGTTCACAAAATTTTAACTTTTCATCTATGTAACTTAATTCTTTCTGTACATTATACTTCTACGTATAAACAGAAACTAGGTTAATTGTTCTATTTACACATTTTTCTTTCAAGCCCCTTATGCAATGTTGGGAGGAAAGAGAAATAAATTTATTGGAACTCTTGACAATTCCTTGCCCACTCTCTACATATACAGTTACAATTTTTTCAGCCAATTATACTTGGTTGAGCTACATGTTTGTAACCAACAGAAATACTATTTCCCAACCATTATTTTAAAATTGGCACAAAGAATTCCACAGAGAACTTGTCAAACACTCTTAGCATTGCTGCTGCTTGCATGAATGCTAGTGCTTTAGTGTTATTTCTCACCTATAAATATGTTAGTTAGTTGGACAATTAAAGTAGAAAATTAGGTCTGCGGTAGTAGGAGTGTCTATATACTATCTACACTGGCTGAACATCACTGTCCTACTCTCAACTAAATGGAATTGAGTATATTCCGGAGGAAGCATCCATGGTCCACCACTCCAGCAGCTAGGAGCTGGTAAGTGGTAAGGACTCCAAATGGGAGGGGAATGCATTGGAGAGATGGGAGGAACACAACACAGGAAACCAGGAAATCTAATATTGAAAAGCAGAATGTTTCTGATATAGCCAAATCAAAAGGTGGAAGAGGATGAGCAGCTACTCATGTCAGTCAATGAGCATATAGTCCGGGAGTGAACATATTAATGATGCAAAACACCACAAGAAAAAACCTACAAGTGGTCTTATGGAACACCCCATCTCATCTGTGGGTGTTATCGACCTTAATTGCCATACAGTGTGGGATTAAGAATAACTATACCTGGTCAGGCAACACTCACCATCAAGTCCTATAAAAAAGAATAGTATAAAAATAGCACCTACCCACATATAGAGAAACCATAGAGCTCAATAGGGTGATGAGAGGTAGACAGAAAATGGACAGATGATGCAAATAATGTGAGATAAGTGTATGGGGAGTGGTCCACATGCTTTCACAAACTATATCCTCCAAAGGATGAAAGAATCAGGCAGTCACAGACATAGTAAGGTGACAGATCTTATGGTAGGAGATCTGAAAGAGACAACAATCATCAGGAGAAAAAGAAGAATAAGCCAGATGAATCAGGTGTTGAATCTAACCCATAAAGGTAATAGGAGAAATATCACAGGAAAGAGAAGGGTTCCAATGAGTAAAGAAACAGGTAGCAGCAAAAGCCACATAACTGCAGAGAGCCCGGACAGGACATAAGAGGCAATCCAGATCAGAATGAGGGAAATGGGAGTGAAGGCAAATTTACACTCACATGCAGCCAAAGTTTTGGGAAGGAGAAAACAATCTGTGTAGAGGATGATATAGGACTGGCAATATAATGTGCAAGAGACATCAACAAATCCAAATGGTAACATCTACATGCCAAGAGGAGGAGGAAAAAGTTCTTTAAGGAGAGATGATATAAAGAACAAGAAAACATGGGCTCGAAGGAGGAAGTGTAAGAGCACGGAGAACAACACTGATGTTCCAATCGGGGAGGGCATTAGGATGCGGGGGACAAGGAAGGTGGAAGAAACAAAACAAAAACGTGAGGACCAGAGAAGTGAAGACAAAGTGGAATCTTGTGAAAATGTAAGGTGGATGACAATTCTGCAAGATAATCAGCAATAGTGGACACCAACAGCCCCTTGGGATGGGACAGAGGAAAACCATGACAAGAAGTCCAATGATGGTTGATATACCACTTATGTTGGTAAACTGACATGAAGGAAAAGTGCACTGAAAGGGAAATTAGGGAAGCAACCTGTGGGGATAGTCCAATCCGTCTGGCAACAGACCATACAAAAGTCATGTGTGAAGATGGAGCATGAAAAGGGAAGGATGTAGCATGCCCAAATGAGGTTCTCTAAGGAGGGTGGGTGACAGGGGAAGAAGAAGAGGTGTCAGTATGAGTAGACACAGAAAAGGAAACCAAGGCTGCACTGGCCAAAGTGGAGATACCAAGAGGACTCGACATGGAGTGGCTTCAATGATTGCTGGGACACAAGGAAGGTGGATGGAAAGATATGCATAAAGGTAATGGCCCCTCAATCCTGAATGAGGACATCAACATCTATAACCAAAGGATGGGAAATAGAAGACCAAAATCTGGGAAGCTTAGAATTCTGTTGGGTGGAAAATGCATCAGATTCTGAAGCAATCCACTGTGAACACAGCAAATCAAATGCCCATTGGTCAAGGGACCACTCTGTGGAGAGAATCTTGTTGAGGCACAATAAATGATATGTGACAACATTCAGGGTACCTATTACATGACATGCCATCAAACGAATGTAATGGCTGTGGGCCCAAAACAGGAGGCCCAACATGTAGAAACAACAAGACCTTGAACACGTGCCCCCTTGCCAAGTAATGTATGAGACAACCATGGAGTTGTCTGAATGGTTCATAATCAACTGGTGCCAGTGGCATGGAAGAAAATTAACCAAAACCCAACAAACAGTGAACAATTCTAAGAGACTGATATGCAGAGATGACTGCACTACAGACCAACATCCCAAAGTCTACTACGTGTCCAGATACACACCCCAACCCAAAATAAAAGTATCCTTGAAGAGATGCACCTCTGGATGAGAAGTAAGAACACCCACTATGGTGTTGTCTTGGTTCTACCACCAAGCAAAGTCAAAATGAAGAGGAGGAAGATGGATAGGTGTGTCCAAAGGATCCTGAACAAAGTTCCACTTATCTTGTAAAACCCACTGAAGAGGTCACTTGTGGGCTCGAACAAAGGAAATGAGACCCTTTAAAGAAGTCTATGTCCCCAAAAGGAGTTGGAGAAGTAGAGGAGGAAATGATTTGAAAGAAGCTCCATACATCATAGGAAAAGAGCAGTAAGTTGGGCCTGGTTGAGGCAAGAATTGAAAAAATAGCTGGAAATGAAAAAGGTATTGAGTGGGGGAGAGGAAGGACCTCCACCCTGACCAGCCAACCTACCCCTACAGCATCTAGAATAATAAACTGAGTGTGAAGTGAAGAGGCAGCATGTGAAGGAACTAGAAGCAGCCAGTCATCCATGTAATGGTGTAAATAAAGGCCCCTGGAATGAAAAAGATGGGCAAAGGCCTTTACTACCTGACAAAAAACATAGGGAGCCAAGGCCAGCTCAAACAGAAGAGCCCGGAAATGTTAGATGCAACCCTGATGGAAGAAAGGAAGAAAATACCAGGATGTTGGAGAGATGGGAATATGGTGGTAAGCTTCCGAGATATCTACCATCATCATCCACAGACCAGGAGTGTAAACCCATCAAAGAGATAGGTATGACTCCATGGTTAATCAAGGAAAGTCTAGGAAGGGGTTTAAGGAAGAGATCAATGATGGGGCATTAGTCTCTGGTCTTCTTTGGGGACAAGAAAAAAACAGGAATAGAAACCTGGCTGAGAAGGAACAACCTATTCCATATCACCCTTGAGAAAAAAATCTAGAATGGGATCCTGATGAGGGTGGAAGGAGACTGGATAAGGGGGACAGGGGAGAAGTGAATGAAAAACAAAGCAAACAACCTTTGGAGAAAACCCATAGAACCCAAGGGTATGTGGTGAAAAGACTCTCACACAGTGGCAAAATGCAAAAGTCTGGTCCCCATCAGAATTGTATCTACCACACAGTCACTAGGACTGCCAGGGGCAGTAAAGTAATTGTGTAACAGAAACTGGTAAAGGAGAGAAATGAGGAGGACAAGACAGAGAAACAGGTTCAGGAGGAGGATGAGATAAACAGGAAGCCATTGAGGAAAAAGAGGAATGCAAACAGGCAGACTTAACTGTGGCTTCTAATGAAAGTTTGAAAGAAGGTCTCCAAAGATGTCTTGCCTCAAAAAGGGAGCCATACGCAAGTCCCATAAGGAGGTTGGGGTAAACAGACATGTGACAAAAAAGGCATCCTAACCCAAAAGATCTCAACAACAGAGGAGCCATGTTAGGAGGGAAAGGATGGAAGAGGACAACTGTGCAAGAGTGGAAAAAATCATGGCACCAATCTCCACCAAAGACTCCTCAGGGGAACACTGAAGAGCCTCAGACAAAAAGTGAATAAAGAAAAGGGAACGAAGGATGGAGGATAAGGCAAGTATGGAAGAATTGAGGTTGGGAAAACATAAGTGAAGTATTGGAATCTGAACCCCACAGAGGCATAAGACGATCAAACTGCTAGCAAAAAAAGGAACTCAGACTAATGGTAAGCCAAAGCATGGGCTTCCATGTTACTTGGATGTCGAGACATACTGACCCCAGAAAGTAATTGGTCTGCAAACCTATTAGCATGAACCCCAATATGCAGTTGGGGGGGGGACAGACAAGATATTGGCTTGAAGGTGTCTCACTTAAAAGAGCAGAGGAGGAATCAAAGGAAATGGGCAACAAGGAAAAAACAACAAGTCTGGTTGATCA